ATAGAGCAAGTTCATACATGAGTACATCAACATCATTATCTAATAATCTTATAGTGCCTACAAAGGAATCTAATAATTTTATAGTACCTACAAAGAAATCTATTAATCCTATACTACCTACAAAAGAATCTAATAATTTTATAGCACTTACAAAGGAACCTAAAAAAGTTATAAAATCCATTCTGCATGCAAGGGAAAAGGGTGAAAGTTCTACCCAAAAAAGGGGTTTCAAGAAAGTGAGGTTTGAATAAATAGACCGTAATAGGTATTAATTGTTATTTAAAATAACGTATGTTATTTTATAAGTATAGAGCAATGCTATTCGTATTTCCATTTTCACTGTATATATTTCCTTTTAGTAGTTGCTATAAATAAAAGGTGCTAGTTCGGAATGATAGGTATTGTTATTCTTACCTTCTATGTAAATAATTACAATAAAAGATTAATTTTATTCTTTGAGTTATAATGTTATTTGTGTATATACTATATGAGTGCCACTAAATAAAAACATGGAATCTACTTTTTGTATTAGAGTGCGGGCTTTCAAAATTTTACATGTGATCAGAAAGAATATTCCAATTCTAGTCGTTTCGTTGTAATTTTTCATGTTATTACTAATTTATTATTGTTGTTGAATAGATGATTGGAATGTTTTTCTATCAGATAAACGATTAGTATTATTACTTTTATTATTAAATAAGCGATTAGCATTAATTTTTTTTATCGGATAGTGATTAGTATTAATATATTTTTTTATCAAATTAGTAATTAGTATTATTACTTTTTTTATTAAATAAGTAATTGGTATTGATTTTTTTTTATTAAATAAGTGATTAATTTTTTTTAATTTTAGCAGTCTTGCTGGTTACTTTTATTAAATTGGCTTAAATTTTGGTTTGACATCTTTTGGTTATTTTTATGAATGTTTAGAAATGGTTGTTATATTAGTTGAAAAATTAAAAGACATTATTTATTATTTGACTAGCTCTTAGGCCCGGGCGATGCTCCGGGGTTAGGTTTTTTGTATTTTAGATTTCAGATTCTGTATTTAATTTTTAAATAAATTTAATATATATTTAAAAATATATAATATATTT